TACACGGGTTCCAGCACTGGCTCCCTCTCCACCTACCCACCCATTGCTGCAGAAATTGCAGCAGCCCAGCTGTCTTCGAGCCTTCGGTCCTGCAGGATCTGAAAAGAGGAGGTGTCACGAGCGGCAGCTAAGGGAGCTGTTATTTTCAGACGTCGGCAACGCTGGTCACCCTGTTCCCAGCAGGCACCGAAAACCATCTCTTAAGAGATGCGCTCAGGCGAAAACCCGCTAAACAAACATTTACATGCTGAACAGCCACGTCAAAAATATCCAGCTAATGTTGCTACGGATTTTATACGGTAAATCAGCGGCAGCTGTGCATGGAGCTGCCGAGTGATAATAACGCAAGGCTGAATTCGGTGCTGCGGGCTTTCTGGCCATGCCAGAGGCCAACGGGATTTCCCTCCGTCCCTTCGGAAAGCTGCCACGAGGGACAGGGAAGAGGAGCGTCCGTGCTCGCTCTCAGCCTGGTTCTGCTACTCCTTTGGCTCGGGCGCGGCGGAGCAGAGCGACTCCTGCCAGCAGCCCGAGCGGAGGGAAGGAGGCAGCGAGAGCCCAATCGGCGGCGTTTCTCTAAGATGGCCCCATCTTCGCGCTCTTCCTCATCCTTCGCGCCGGCCGCTCTCACGCCGGCTCCGTCGGCAGCGCCGCGGTTTTGCGGGACGGAAGCTGCTTTAACGCAGCATCTGGCTTGCTGGGATAATCCGACCTCTTTAAAAGCGCCCAGGCTCCGATTCGCAGGGGAGGCGCGGGTAAGAGTCGATCTCCTCAGACCTCCGACGCGCCGACACGAAAGGAAGCAAATTTTAAAGAAAAAAAAATTCTTTTCACAGCTCAATACATAATACCACGCTGAAATCATTCATGTTTTGATCTTTCGCTCTTAGTGGTTTTCGGGAATTTTAAGTCTTAATGAGAAAAGGTGACTTTTTTCACTTAGAGCTTCCTGCTGGGCGACCAATCTAATTGCAGAGTGAAACAAGATAAATTTATACCAGGTATCAGAGACAAGTTTTACATTAGCTTATTAAGGACGCAGTGCTTTTCCTATTCCACGCTACCTTTAACCCAAAACTCGACGTCCTTCCGAAGGACAGTCTCCTGCTCAGGCAAAGGTGAAGGTCTCAGGGAAGAACGTCGGCATGGAGCTTTACAGCCGAGGCTTTGCCGGAGGATCTCCGCAGTCCTCCCGTTCAAATTAATTTACGGCCTGAGCTCTGCAGGCTATAACGCTTCAGCTTACGCCTGCTTCAACCTCTTCCTTCCACAACGCAGCGCGGGCTTCGCGCTGCTTCCCTTACCGCAGCGCAGGAGAAGAGTTGGGATATGGATTTATCTAAGTTACGGTCTCTGGTTTACTTGACGGCTAGTGCTGAGTCTACAGTTAATAACGTAGGCATCCGGGTCTAACAGGACAGCGGTCGATCCTTCGCTGGTGCGTGGCCCTTCTTTCCCTGCCTTTAAGGGTTACGGAGGTGGCGGCGATGGGGACCGTAACCCTCCCTCACCCGCCGGCCAGCGCCGCTCCTGGCTCCGGTCCATGGGATCTGCGGGTCTCCGCAGGGAACTCCTCGGTCGTTGCCGCCGGAGGGGCGCCCCCTTCGCCGGGGGGC